TTTTTTTTTTTTTTTTTTTTTTTTTCGATTTTAAAAATAAATAAATAATGCCCTAACATGCAATATAAAAAAATAAAATTTATGGCCCATTTTTTTTTTTTTATGCTGTACTTATATATACGTACATATATAAAATATTTAAATAAACATTGCCAAGGACTTTTTTTTCTTTTTTTTTGGACGATGCTGGTCTTTTTCTGAGGGCTAATGTTAATTATATGCTTTTGCGTAGGCAGGGTTTATATACATTTTACAATGGCGTACGTTTATAGCAGCACGTGGCATAAAAAGGCACATAAATTAACTGGTCATGTGGTCCATATAGTTCCCAATGACGTTATGTATATATATGTACATTTTCAGCGTACATTTACATACAGAATTAGCACTACGGGAAACAAATTTGATGATTTTTTTATCCATGTACGAAATAAATATATAGTTCCGCCTCATTGTCTTTTGCTACAAGCATAAAATATGTGCCATATGATGAGAACCGTGTTCATGTAATATATATCATGGTGTCCTTTTGTACGTTCTGTGGGTCTTTATACCCGTGGGCAAGGGGGGCCAATAAATTATTTTAATTTTTGCTATAACGAAGGGTGGACAGCGTTACAGATGGTACAAAATGAACAATTTCTCTTTCCCTCCTGTTTTCAATTCCAAAAAATGGCAAATGTTTACGCAAATGAATTATTATTCCCCAACTTGGGCACGTGGGCTGGGTTGGAGTCCATTATTCATTTGAAAATTGTGAGTCCTCGAAATGGCCACAACACACCAGCGTCTGTGCGTACGTATATGTTAGTACTTTAGTGCGCACAAACACTCATGCCTCTAATCAGCCCCTCCGTTTGTAAGATTACCATGTTGGACCGCAAAGTGTGAAAAGGCTGTGAATGCGTAGGTATTGTGAAAATTTTAAATAATTCTCAATGGACAGTGCTCAACGGTCAGTACATAGTAGTAGTGGCAAGTTTTGCGGCCACCTGACATACGCATTTTACACTAAAAAGGAAAATGCAAAATTATGGGATAAGCATGTGGCCGCAGTTTCATGTGTATATGAGAAGTTTAAAATAGGCTCTCCCCCTTGTGCGCTCTGCGCGCACTAGCAGTGCAAAGACAACACATGATATGAATTTCCCCCAATGGAAATTATATATATAGGACAATCGAACAAGGGGACATATAACCTACTTCTCCCATACATATCGGTTCATCTGAGGAGCTTTACGGAACTATTGTGTCAAAACGTATAGAGGTCAAAAAAGAAAAAAGAAAAATCCACACGGGGAGAAGAAATCAATTACCATGGGCAAACAATTTAGCCGAATGCTTCAATCCTATTGTCCCTATATGTGTAATAATCTAGATAATAAAAAAATATTATTAAATGGGGAAAAAAAACGAAATGCGTTACACATTCCTATAACGTGCGAATAAGAGCTTGATCTGAGCTAAATTAGCCTAGAGGGACAGTACACCATATATAACCTTTTATCAGTTCCTTTTCGTATGAGTTATAAATACGATGGGTGCGGTGAACCGTTCGTACCAAACAACAAAACGTATGTGTGCCAAAGAAAATATAAAATGTGTTCTTTATATAATAAGGGAAAGGAAAATAAGTAGAACACCCTCTTTCACAATCAGGTGGAATAACATAATACCTGAGAAGTGCTCACACTCGTTGCTTATTAACAATTTGAAAAGGGAAATGGCAGACTTTAGTGTGAGTTAATATAGAACAGTATAGGAGAGGCACGTAAATAAAAGCAGCAATAATTATACAACGAAACTGTACCACCTATTATCCTACTACATTATTTTTACAATTTCGAGGTGAATAAACCGATAAATATATTGGAAGGAAGCGTAAAAAGGAACGAATGAAAAAAAAAAAAGTAAATTGCCTCACAAAAAGAGCACTAATTTATTTATTCCGAATTTTCCTGCTATATATTTTTTCTATAAAAAGGTGACCGAATTTTATTCAAACGGTAAAAAGAATAGTTACCTACATTTTATAATTTTGCAAAAATGCTTTTTTGTGGTAACATAAAAAAGCGCAGTTAGCGCTGTTCATTCATTATTTTTTCCACATCGAGGAATGGCGAAAAAAAGAAAAATGTGATGGGAAATAAAAAGGAGAAACAAAAAAATTACGCGCAGTAGAGATGATATTAGAACTTTTTAAGTAAATATTTAAAGCACTCGGGGGTGCTCCTAAAAAAGTTGGGGTTATGCAAAAGATTGATTCGTTATATTTGTTGGAGAATGGCATACTCATAAGATGAAATATGCCACGGGCAAAAATTTTGCTGTTAGCACCTTCCAAGTGGAAAGTCTATAGCTCATCACAGTCAGCTGAGTGCAATGCTCTGCTCCGAACTACGCCAGGGTAATTCGTGAGCTACCCCAAACGACAGCCAGGTAAGTTGACTTTCAATAGGCCTCGTTTGCACTGTGTTATTTTTTCCATGCTGCAATTGTACCTCATCGGTTTGCATCAGCAAAGTGCTTTTCTCCCCACGCCTTTTTTTTGAGGCCAAGCGGATCAGGTGTTGCGCTTTTTTTTTTTTTTTTTTTTAAAAATAACTTTTTATACCTATTGGCAAATGGTGTTCTTCTCTTTCTCGATAATTTCTTTTTTTTCTACTTTTTGGTCATAACAAATGTACACGTAAATGAGTACATTTCTGCAGTTCTTTAACGCTGCGTGTTTCTCATGTTGTTCCTTTTTTTTTTGTTTGTTTGTTTATTTTTTGTTCCTCTCCTCTGAGGAAATATCCTTTTTTTTTTGTGTATGCAAAACTGACCATTAGGTCATAATTGTTACTTAAGGGAATGCGGAAAGCTAGTACGAATCGAAACGCCAATAAATTCACAAGTGTGCTCATATAAGCACAAGTTGCAACCTAAAATGGGGTGTGGGATGAGTAGGAACAGAGTGGTGTAAAAGAAGTTGCACGTCCAACAAGGACATGCGTAATGTAGAGATAAACTGTGGCCGCCATCCTACGTGCACATATATTTTATATTCACATAAGGCCGGTACACATAATTTGTGCTCTTATGTTCCCATTCTCTCTTTACGCCTCTCCTTCTATCACATTTTTGCCGTTCCAAGTTGGATAAAGTGGAAGATTTACGCAGGGGCGATTTTCCTACTGTTGTGCAATTATGCCTTGCAGCGTTTTTAAGAATGAGCGAGGGAAATGTGCTATAAAAATGAATCCTGAAAAGGGGAAGTGATCCGTATATTTTTTTTTTTTTTTTTTTTGTCTAACAAAAAAGGAGGCATTTTTTTCTGTGCGAAGTGTGTCTTAGGTAGACCACAGATATCTCATATCCTGACAACCAACTTGTTCACGCTGTCCTCTTTTTTATTTACTCCAAGTTTTCGTAAGGTCTCACACTATTATAACCTACCATCATTACGGAACAAGGGTCACTTTAGCGTGGCGTTATCCCTTTAGGGGGGAAGCAGAATCTTATACTGCAAAATTTACAACTTCACAAATATATGTAGTAAGCACGTGTGCACCAAATGAATAAAAACTTCGCTCAAATATTGGAGGATTTTTTATCTGATGGGAATAGAAAGCACAGACGGCATGGTGATGACGGCACGAATGAGGAGAACATACCACATTTTATGAAACAGGACGCATCGAACTTGTTCAAAGATGATATAGGAAAAACATTAGAAAAAAACAACTTTTTCAAATATACAGAATATTCATTAAGTAGCCTGTACATGTCAGACAATCAAATTCCCTTAGAAGAAGATCCAAAATATGAAACGTTTATAAATGTTTTAACCAAAGCATCTGATGTTAATAACGAATATAAGTGGGTTGATGATTATTTCAAATTTGACGTGCAAGAAGAATTTAATATATTAGCACCACGATCTCAAGACAGGGATTTTTTGTTTAGGAAATATTTACATCCAAATCAGTTAAAAAATATTTGCCTACTACGAAAATATGAACAAGCGGCTATTTCAAAAACGCCGGAAAAAAATAAAGTGGATGCTAAAATAGTGTCTGAATATATTGTTCACGATAGTTACAGGAAAATTATGAAAGCACTAAATTATAAATTGAGTCACAGGATTTTTACACAAGCGCGTATTTTTCACAGTAAATATGGAAACAGCGATCATATAATTATACTGGTCGTGCGGCATTATAAGGATGAGAGTTTTCTTCATCCACTTTTTCACGACAGGGCACTTGTTCAAATAAAGTCCTACTTAAATGATAATAAATACGCCGATATGACTCAGAAGAATTTGCTAAACTACACAGAGATTTTCAAGCCGTACGTCTCATTGAGAAAAGTGGACAACAACTTTGTGGAGCAAATTAAGGACAGGTATTACGGCGCCTTTTAAATTGCACCACTGATAAAAATTTTCGCTCGTCATAAGCGCCCCCGCATGGGTTTTACCTGGTGACCCATGTATGTATACCTGCAAAGGAAGGGAGCGTGCCCCCTTTGTCCATTTAGCCCACATTCCGCAGCATTTTTTTTTTTTGTGCCCAACTTCATAAGACGCACCCCACTTGGCTCTTCTTCGAAACACTTGTTTCCGTACAACTTCGTTTGTGTAGGGGGTTACTGATTGGAGCTTTTACTCATCAGATCACTCAAACGCGCTTTCTTCGAGTCACCCTCACATTGATGAGTAGCGTACGCGCCTCCTGTAGCTAATTTCCACGTGATACGGGATTCTCCAGTTCTTCCTGCATACATGTGTCACCCTCCACCGTGGTGCCCATGTCAATGGGTGCCGTGTTAGTTTCCATGCTGGAGTGCAATTTGGGTGCGTTAAAATTGTGTGCCATGTCGTTTACCTCACCTTCATCTTCAGAACATTCGAACTCTTCGCATATTTCAAAAATATCTCTGATTAAGGAGGTACACATAAATATGAATTATGCGATGTGTCAGGGTTCAGCTTTTGATGGGCACAGTTCAAATTACCTACACAGTTTGCACGATTTGCTTGCGCATTTTTGTGTGTACTCTCATTTGCCGCATTTTTGTCTAAGTGACCATACCCCCTGTTGGCGTTTTTCCAAAACTGGTAGCAACTTTCAGCATCAGACAAGGTCGAATTGGAGAAAACTTCATCTTCTTCACACATGGAAGTTTCTCTACTCTGGCTCAATTTTGTGGAGGCCTCATTTTTTGGGAACTCCGCTTCCTTTAAATGCATGGTGTACGCCCCTTCGGTTTATTATATACGCCACAAAAGAAATGCACGCTTAACAATTCCCCTAGGTGAAATGTTTTTACTATATTTGTGAGCTGTACTCACTTTTTATTTTTACCAATTGGAGTTTGCTCACACGTGCAAACAGGCTATACGGAGCAAGTGGAGCAGCTTGGACAAATTTTTTGTTTTTCCCTCGTAGTGCTTACAAATGTGATAACGTGATCGCGTTTGTCCACTTTCATACTTTGTATTTTTTTTTTTTTATGTTAAAAGCTTATGTGACTTATTTTGTTCGTCTAGTGAACCTACTTGCACATCTGCAGCGCCGCGGTGAAAGGCGTAAGGTTCCCATTTTAAACGCAGCGTAGGTATAAATCACCCGCTTGTAAAAGAATTAAATTAAAATGACAAATATGAGACATAGTCAAATTGAGCCAGTTCAGACGAATGAAACATATTTGGGGGGGGAAGAAAAGTCTTAAAAATGGGAAAAATATTAAAAACGCGGAAAAGTAAAAAGACATGAAGGAAATGTGAATGAAAGGCGAATGGAACGTAGCAGCTTCGCACATATATCAGATACCAAATGGAGCAAATCGGGGATTATAAATCCAACAAACACAACTCAAAGGGATGAATTAAAAATCGGTGAGAGTAAAGGTGCAAGGAGGAAGCTACAGACAAACGCAACAGTGAAAAGGAAGCCGGTGTAGGTTAGTGATGTAATTCGAACGACCGCACGAATTGCACCAGAAAAGGTTGGCCGCTTGCCACTCTTTTTAGTGTCTTTCCGGACGAGCTGCACCATCATTGCGCCTCCGTTTTTCCTACCTCATTTTCCTTAACTTCCGCTTCAGGAACTGGCTCGGTGGATAATGGCTCGACGCCCACTGCGGGTCCCTTCTTAGTATCCTCCTCCTTTTTCTCATCTCCAGAAAACTGCTGCCTGAGAAGAGCCACTTCCCTATCCACATTTTCTATGTTTTCCTTAAGCAATTGTATACTTCGCGTGAGAGCCTCAAATAATATCTTGAAGTCCTTTATATCTAAACTGAAAGTGTGAATAATTTTCTGCATTTCTGACACATTATTTGCCGTTTCCTCGGACTCCTTTTTCACTTGAAGGACATAGTTTGAAAACCTCTTTATCTCATTTCTCATGGTCATAATGGACACACTTGTGCATAGAGGTGCAAACCTACACACATTTGAGGTGGGGTCGTTGTTAGCATTTTTGCCTCCAAACAGGAAGAAAGCCTTTGTCTGTGAATGCAAATTTAACGTACCATAATCGTAACAATTATGAATCTGCTTGGATGCTATCTGGCAGTTAAACCAACAATTGGAAGGTATATCATATACATACAAATCAGGGATGGAATAATTTGAAAACCACCCAGAACATAACCCACCACTGATCCACATATTCTTATCAATAATGACAGCTCCATGTTTCCATCTAGGACAAGGGGCTTCCCCAGAGGAATTTTTCACCATGGTCCAATTCTCATGATTGAAATTATATACCCATAACTCATCTGTTGGGGTCCCTTTATTTGTCGTGTCCCCTCCAAAGAGATAAAGAAAACTATAATTCACATTATCTTTTGTAACTCTATCTAGCCAAACCATGGAAGCAAAGACTCTTCCCGATGGACATATCCCTTTATGCTTTATTTCTGACCATTCTCCACCAATAAATTTATGACCCGTATTTAACAATTCGTTATTTCTGTTCAGTCCCCCCCAAATAACAGTCGTATAAGTACTAGAACAAAATGTGTAAGAATGCCCATATCTTGTTCCTGGAATGGATGCTAATTTGTAGGTATACTTGGACCATGTGTCTTCCATAAAGTCATACATGTAGCAATCTTTTGCCAGTACGTTTGGCCCACATAATCCTCCAAATAGTAATAAGGATGGGTTGTTATTAATATTATATGTTAATGTCATAGAGCAGTAAGCTCTTTTCCCTGGATTTACACTTAACTTTTTAGAGGTAAATGTGTTGAGGCCATAAGTAAATGTTAGAAACTCATCCAGATATTCATTTTTCGAATTAATTCCCCCGTATATGAAGAACTCATTTTCGTATTCTACTATAGAGTGGCCATATTTTTTTGTAAACACTTTGTTATCATGATAAATATGTGACAGAAAAAATTCTGGTGGGGACATGACACAATCCGCTACTCTTGAGTTGGGGCTGGGAGTGGGACTAGGTTTCCCTTCTTCATTCAGCTGAGAGGCACTATATAAATTTTTAAACGATTTGGATTCGTTTCCAGATAGCATATGATCATCTTGAGACCCCTTTTTCGTCACGGCATATTTTGTTGATGCGAACGTTCCTGATTTTTGTATTGATAATTTTCCATTCACTTCCAAAGAATTGTCAACACTTGGCATGCTGCTGTTTTTGCTGAACAGCCCACTCTTGTCTGGCGTGTAATTCTGTGAAAGAGTGGAGTTTCCGGACTTTTTCTTTTTGAAGAATTTCTTTTGCTTTTCATTTTCGGAAAACTCCTCAGTTTCGGAAAAGTCTGATATATCCGACATTTTGCTGCTGCTGGGTGGGGGCGCACAGGGTGATATGATTTTAATTCGTGGTGTTATTCCGTTGGTGTTGGTGTGGAGGTTGATCCAAAACACTGCAGTAGATCTTTTTGAACAAACGGTACTATTGGTCCTTTTATTCTTTCTTTTGATGGCGAATGGAAGAGAACCTTGTGTCGTTGGAAAAATTCATCCATTAAGAGGCTCATAACATGAGATTTAGCTGCAGCTTATGAAAAATAAGGAAATTCAGCCTGTTTGGTGTTGCCTCTCTTTCCTCACTTGATCGTTCATATGTACTTATTCAGGCATGTATACGCATTTATCGCGTTTTCTTCAACTTGGGTATTTAATCACAGTGTCCAATTTGTAGGAGAAATATTGGGAGATCAAAACGACGAAACTTTTTTTTTTTTTAAAAACAACTTCGCTATTGATATACCCTTTAAAAATGAAAGGGAAGACAAGCAAACTTACAAAGAAAAATGTCAAATGAGAAAAACATAATATTGGGGCACTATTGAGGGGTGTCAACAAACATCCGATAAGTACACATATATATATTTGCCGATATATGCAGACTTTTTCAAGAACATATAAAAAGACAACAAATTTTACAACACTTAAAAAAGCTTACGTGAAAAAAAAAAAAAAAAAAGACGCATAATGAGCCTCACATAATTACGAAGAAATGTTACACACATTAATTGAGAATAAAAACGAAAGCGTTATTTTAACAACAAGCAATTTTTAATCATACAAATATTTATTAATACTTGTATGGTAGTAAAAAAAAAAAAAAAAATCCATTTTGCACACAACAGCTAGCTGTTTACAAACATTTCAAAGTTTTTTTTTTTTTTTTTTTTTTTTTTGTGCCCTCTTGTTTTACTTTTTCGTTTTAACAATATATATATTGGCATAAGATGAAGTCACATGAACATTTTTAAACATTTACATTCACATGCCGTATTTGTGAAAACCTCATTCTTTTGTGCCTTTGTTTTGAGAAAAAAGCTCTACATTTTGAATAAACATGAAATTTGTAAAAAAAAAAAAAAGACATGTGCCTATTACATACTCGTATAATAAATGTTGAGCCTTAATAAGCACCACACAACAGAGTCATTATGTAGAGGTTGTGTGGAACAGTCACACGCGCAAATTTATGCATATCTCTTGGTGCGCGTAAAATTGTATACAGGCAGAAAAATGAAAAGAAATATGAATTCATTTAAAATAAAAAAAAATCAGGTCTAGGTGTTAAGAGGTTGCGTTGTTATAGCTTGAATCACGTCTTAAATATAAATCTTCGACGTAGTTTATTTTTTGCAACTCCCTTTTGCATTTCATTGCATGTCAAAATAAATGTAAGACAGCTCAATTTGTCAATATGGTGGAAAACATGAAGGCACAGTGTGGGAAATAGATTCACTCTGTCTCAAAAAAAAAACACGGATGTCAGTAATCAAAATGTTTAATATGGTACAGGCGGAAAAAATATATGCATATTTACAGTTCTGCTTAACTAAGCACAAAATGCTGTACAGCGCATGTCTGAATAAAAAATGTTCCGTGCAAAAAATTCGGGTTTATTTTGGTAACAGTTCAACCATGTTCATTCGGGTTGAAAAAAAAAAAAAAAAAGAGGCACATGTGTAAAGCAGAAATGGGTATACTCTGATGTTCCTTTTTTTAAAACTTTCGAGAATTTTTTTTTTTTTGGGGGGGATGTTGCATAGTAACCTAGTTGCTTTCACGCATTCAAATAGGTGTCAACATTCTTCATAGACAAGCCTTACGATGTAATATTAGGTTAGGCCGCGACAGTTAAAAAAAATAATAATATATGGTGCGACATGACCTTAACATGTGCATTATTTACGACATTTTTGACCTATTGTAAGTCAGTTCAAATTTTATATTTTAAACAGGATAGAAATGTTCTTTGTCTAGTTTTATGTTCCGGGTGTGTTTTGCTTGCTCGCTTTTTTGTTTGTGTTATTTTTGTTGTATTTTATTATTTTACCCATTTGCTGTTGTTTCACTGGTGCATTATTGTTGCATGCTGCTATTTTTTTTTTTTTTTTTTTTTTTT